AGGAGGAGGAGGAGGAGGAGGAGGAGGAGGAGGAGGAGGAGGAGGAGGAGGAGGAGGAGGAGGAGGAGGAGGCGGAGGAGGAGGAGGAGGAGGCGGAGGAGGAGGAGGAGGAGGAGGAGGAGGAGGAGGAGGAGGAGGAGGAGGAGGCGGAGGAGGAGGAGGAGGAGGAGGAGGAGGAGGAGGAGGAGGAGGAGGAGGAGGGAGGAGGAGGAGGAGGAGGAGGAGGAGGAGAGGGAGGAGGAGGAGAGGAGGAGGAGGAGGAGGAGGAGGAGGAGGAGGGGAGGGGGGAGGAGGAGGAGGAGGAGGAGGAGGAGGAGGAGGAGGAGGAGGAGGACCACCTGCGGCCGCGGTACCTGGGCCGTCGACCGGACCGCCCAGCCTTCAGAGCCCGCCTGCCCAGACCCCCGACGCCGTGAGTTTTTCGCAACGTCGACCCCCAGAGGTCTGGACCCTGCCCCTGGGACTATGATGTTCCAATCTACTTTAGCCTTGACCACCAGAAAGAATTTCGAACGCCAGGACAACGTACCGAAACTCAAGGGTTTTCACGTGTCGGGCCCTGGGAGACACTTGCCCGACACTGTTTCGACACTCTTTTGACACTCTTTTAACACTTTTGTGGGTGCTCGAAATTACTTCTGGGATGTGGTCCTTAAGTAGGATGGCGACAACATAACCCTGGGACCGGCTTTCCATCCCGAGTCGTTCTTTGACGGTCCCGCGGCCCAGTAAAGGCCCCCAGAGGCCGAAAATAACGAAAAACCTCCCGTCGTGATTTTTGCACAGCGCGAGGGGCCCCGGGTGGCTGGACCGGCCCCGCCCCGTTCCAGAGCGAGTGCTCTGGGAACCACGGGGCCACCGCCTGCGAAGCCCCACCCCGGCGCCAGGCCGGGGGAAGCAGGAGCAAGAGGAGGAGGAGGAGGAGGAGGAGGAGGAGGAGGAGGAGGAGGAGGAGGAGGAGGAGGAAGAGGAGGAGGAGGAGGAGGAGGAGGAGGAGGGGAGGCGGAGGAGGAGGAGGGAGGAGGAGGAGGAGGAGGAGGGTGCTGCGGGGCGGGGCGGGGGAGCCGGCGCGCGCGGCTTTCCGGCTGCGCCCGCCCGCACTCCCGAAGCGCTGGGCTCCACAGGGTGGCGCGCGACCCCGCAGCTGCCTCCGAGGAGCTGGAGGCCGGCGTCCGCCGTAGGTGTGCATCAGGAGCAACTGGTCGTGGCGTTCCCGACATGTCGGCCGAGGCTTCTGTGTCGATCGGGGTGGCGGGGACGCCCAGCGTGGCTTAGTCCATCGCAGCCTACCTGGAACGTTCAGAGGCTTTCTTCGCTCCCATGTCGTGGTAAAAAAGATGCACCTGGGCAAGTCTGAGCAGCAGGCGACCGCGGATGGCCCATCCAGCGTGTGACAAGGCAAAGTTCACGAAAAACAACACAGAGAGAGAGAGAGAGAGTCACTGGCACATCGGGTCAAGAGGTCCGTGGAGAGGCCCGCGTCGCTCACGCGGGTCAGGAGCGTCAGCGCGGCGGCCCCGCAACGGGCGCAGCGGGGGCCGTCCTTGCCGCCGCTCGGGGGGCTGCTCGCGGCAGGGGCGCCGCAGCCCTTGCCCCTCGGCCTGGCCTTGCCCCCTTCTGCCGCCGTGGCCGGGCCAGCGTGCCGCTTCGCAGCGTCGGGCACTGGAGGGGCCTCCGTCGCTGCCGCTTGGGTTAAGTTGGGCCTGTCCCTCTACAGGAGGAAAATTCAAAAACGGCTAAAACATCGTGAGGGGACGATTTGTTGATTACTTATTCCCCTAATGTTTCAATATTTCTGGAATGTTTTTCATTTGTCGTGCAAGACCCGCCTGTAGGGGAAGAGGCCCGACCTACTGCTTGGGCCACGTCCCAGCGGCCCCAGCAGCCCTCGCAGGGCACTGCTGAGAGCTGGGCCCCCCGAGCCTCGCAGCCTTGGCAGCTCGTTGGCAGGGCGCGCGGCTCTGGGCCCTCCCCAGCCCCGAGGAGGTCCGGGAGGGGCGGGCCGCGGAGCGTCGTAGGGCTGGTCGGTGCTGCAGGGGCTGCTGCCTGCGAGCGGGAGCGAACTGCCACCTCCTCTGGGTGCTTTGTGCTGCGCGGGAGCTGCGGTCAGCCCTGGGTCCGCTTCTGGCTGCTGGCGCTTCTGCTTCTGGTCGTCGAAGGCGCGCGCTTCCTGCCAGGATGCCCAGCAGCTGGCGCAGCACCCCCTGTCCTGTGAGTGGGACCCAGCCCCCCCGTGCGTGGGACCCCGCCCGCTTCGCAGCCGTCGCCCTTCGGTGGTGGGGAGTCCCCTGCGGCGCCTGTGCCTGCCTGAGCCTCTGCGTGCCCGGACTTGGCTCCAGGTTCGCCGCCGAGACGCCGCCACCCCTCGCTTCCCTGCCTCGTGCCCGCCCGTGCGGTGCCGCGCGCTGCCTCAAAGAAGGCGAGTGTGCTTTGACCGTGGGGCGGGCCTCCCGTGGCTGTTGCGGCTGTCCGTGCCTGCTGGCCTGTCGGGTCCGTGAGGGGCCAGTGCTCCTCGAGGCTATTCTCGTACAGTTTTTTCTTGCAGGGGCCTTCCGGGTGCCTCTTGGCCTGGGATTCCGCAGCTGGCGACATGGTGCTCCGCAGGCGGCGGTGTGCCGTCCAGCAGCGCTGCGCTGCCTGCTGCAGATTACATGCTGCGCGGCGCCGCCCTCGCCGTTCGAGTGCCTGTGCCTCTTGGCCTCTGGACCCGCTCTTGAGCCTTCCGAGTCCATCGAGGGAGAGGGTTCGTGTAGGCGAAGGGGGTCGGCCAGGGGGGTCGGGAGGCTCGGAGCTCGGCTGAGAGATGCGGCTGCGGGCAGGCGGGGGCAGCAGCACTCGCACCAGCGCAGGGCAGCAGGCCTCAGGGCACCCCGCGAACTCCCCGGCCCGAGCCCGCAGATCCGCAGGCCGCCCGCCCCACCCTCCCGCCGCCACCGCAACACAGGCACCCCACCCCCGACCCAGGCAGCCCCCACGACAGAACAACCAGCGGAGCGTGTCACACGCTCCGGCTCCGGCGGGGGAAGAGGGGGGCAGGGAGCGGGAGCGGGAGGGGAGGGAGAGACGCGGGGACCGAGGGGCGGAGGTCCCTGGAGCCCCCGCTCCTCGGCCAGGGTGCGGCCCGAACGACGAGGGCGCCCGGCCGTGCTCTGGACCAGAGGCCAGGACCCGACCCTCCGGTCCCAAGGCCCGAGGAGGCTTCCGGGAAGGCCGAGGCAGGGTTTCGTCCCGACCCCGCCAGGCCCGACCCAGCCCAGTCCCTCAGGGACTGGGAGGGAGGGAGTGAGGGTTTAGGGTTTCGGGTTTAGGGTCCACTTGCCACCTTTGGAGGCATTTCGAACGTGTCTCGCCCACCCATGACCCAACACACACTGCATTCAAGGCGACGCAGGCGATGCTCATGTGACGTGCGACGGCGTGAGCACAATGCACATGCGCAGAGCCCAGGCAACTCTTCGGAGGCCGATGCAGCGTCGGTGCGGCACGAGGTCGGCCATAACCGCGCGGAAACCCAGGGGCCACGTCTAGCCTCCACGGGGCGTGCCCTGGGGACGGGCACGGGCGCGGCTCTTAACCCACAAGGGGGGAGGAGGAGGAGGAGGAGGAGGAGGAGGAGGAGGAGGAGGAGGAGGAGGAGGAGGAGGAGGAGGAGGAAAAGGTCGAGGTCGCGCGGGTACCCTTCGCTTTCGCAGAGGACACAGACGCTGATTGGTGTCAGCGTGGCGTAGGCCAGGTATTGGAGTCGGGGAGTGCACACACACATGGTATTCTGCACATCGGGTAGAGAGGGCACTCGCTCGGCGTGTGCAGAAATTTGTATTTTCGTATCGGGATGTGGCGGTGCTGTGAGAAACCTTCTGAGCGGCTGCGATAAGCCTTGCGAGAGGCCTCTTGTGAGGCCTTTCAGAAACCTTCCTCTATGGGAAATCTTGTGAGATGCTTTTGCTACGCCTTCTGACAAGCCTCTGATAGGCCCTGCGAATAGCCATTGACAGGCCTGGAGAGGCCTTGTCCGAGGCCTAGCCAGAGGCCTTGTGAGAGGCCTTGTTAGGGCCCTTGCGAGAAGCCTTGAGGGGGGTTGCGTGAGAAGTCTTGTGAGAGACTTCCGCGAAGCTTTATGAGAGTTTGGTGCAAATCCTTGTCAGAGGCCTATGCGGAGCCTTGTGAGAGGCTTTGTGAGAGGCCTTGTACACAGCCTCTGGGTGGCCTTCCGAGAAGCCCTGGGGAGGGCTTGTGAGTGGCTTCTGTGAGGCTCGAGGGAAGCTTTTGAGTGGCCTTGTGAAAACCTTTGGGAGGTCTTGTGCGAGGCCGCTGAGAGGCTGCGTGAGAGACCCTGTGAGAGTCCTGTGAGAGGCCGCGTGACGGGCCTTGTGGGAGGCGCCTTATGAGACGCCTATGAGACGCCCTGCGACGGGCTTTGTGAGCGGTCTTGCGAGCATCAGCCGATGTGCACGGAGTCTTTGCTCCATCTGATGGGCAAGGCTCGGTATTTTCTGCAATTGATCCTGGCCTTAAGTCGGGCCTGTCCCCCTACAGGGGGATTTTCGACGAAAAAATACCCCACAAATAATCATACATTCATTAAACAAATAGTCTGGGGACTATTTTTGAGTATTTTTTGGTCCGTTGTTTGATAATTTTTCGGGTATTTTTAATTTTTCGTCGAAAATCCCCCTGTAGGGGGACACGCCCGACATAATCCTGGCCAACTGTGCACACATTTTTCCCGTAGGGCGGAGGGGGCAGCAGAAGGGAACGCGGCAGGGCGGCCGATCTCTAGGCTCTTAGCTCTTAGGGCTTAGCCGCCGGAGAGCCACAGGCACCTACACGCTACCCAGCGGCCAGGAGGAGGGGGAGGAGGAGGAGGAGGAGGAGGAGGAGGAGGAGGAGGGGGAGGAGGAGGAGGAGGAGGAGGAGGAGGAGGAGGAGGAGGAGGAGGAGGAGGAGGAGCGGAGGCGGAGGCGGAGGAAGCGGAGGAGGCGGAGGCGGAGGCGGAGCTCTCAGGGTGGTCGACCTGAGCTTCCCCGGCCACGTCTCGCAGTCCGCGCGGGACCTCGTCCGCAGGCCGTCGCGCGCCCGAGCCCCGCCCTCCGCCACTCTGCCGCCCGTCGGGGGCGCCAGACGCTGGCGCCTCCCGGGCGCCGATCGACGCGTCCCCAGATCTCCGACGATACGGTCCTGAGGTCTTTGGTGCCTCGGGGGGAGGGAGTACGAGGAAGACGAGCAGGAGGAGGCCTAGGAGGAGGAGGAAGGGGGAAGGAACATCTGAGTGGACAGGAAAAGCACCAAAGTAAGGCCAGGATGCGGCAATGACGCTGGGATGCGGTCGGGAGCTGTAGCTTAGCGTGTCGCTCCGCCGATTCTGGCCCACCACGCTTCGGCGCGAAACGCTGTCCACCTCCCAGTTCCCAGACTTGTGCGTCCTGAGCCTTTCCCAGGGTTCCGCACCTCGGAGCGGTGCGACACGCTATCCGCTTGCAAGGGATAGCGTATCGCCAGGGTCTCCGCCGCGACACGCTAAGCAAAAGATCCGACCGTATACTTTTAGATCTCGGCGTTTTCGTCGTTTTGGCTTCCCGGGCCCGTTATCGGGCACCAGGACCATCAGCAATGGAGCCGGGACGATAACTACCCATGTGGAAAGGGTTGGGACCTCTGGGGCCGCGGATTGAACAAATCATATCGGAGGATATGTGGGTCTGCAGACCGTGGCGTCGCATCACACTGCGCAACGCGGAGATCCCCACATGCGCACCTCATTTCCTACCACGTCCCCCGTGGGTGTCTGGCCGTGAACGTCTCTCTGTTAGATCGAGTCCGAGTGGACGACGAGGACGACGGCCACGGCTACGATGAGGGGCAGCGACGACGACAACTCACAGACATACAGGCGGTGAGCAGGCCCCCGCCCCTCTCCTTCTTCTTTCTCCTCGTCGTGCCCCTTCCCCTCTCTTTCTCCCTCCTCCCTTCTCGCTCTTCCTGCGTCCTCCTCCTTCCTCCTCCGTCCTCCCTCCTCCCTGGCGGCCGGCCTTCTCCTTACATCGAAGAGATCAAGGGGCTCTGGATGGACAGAAGTCGGAGGTGCAAAACCGAGCACTTCGCTTGATACACCCCCACGATCTGACCGTCTGGGGTGCTGAAACCAGCGCGTCCCTGGAGACATCCTCACAATCTGCCCTGAAAGCAAAGAAGTCCACAACACCAAACAGGCAAACCGCCTGAGACATCCTCAGAACATGGGTGCGAACGAGCCCGTAAAATATCCGCTGGCGGATCCCCCTAGAGGTGCTGAATCCAGCGCCTCGCTCGAGACATCCTCACGATCTGCGGTGAAAACACCGAAGACCAAGCAACCGAACAGGCAAACCGTTTGAGATATCCTCAGAACATGGGTGCGAACGGGCCCGTGAAATACCAACGCCTCGCTCGAGATATCCTCACGCATCGCCTGAGACATCCCCACAGTTTGGGCGCGAACGGGCCCGCGAGATATCTTCTGTCGGCTTCCCCTTGGGGTGCTGAAGCCAGCGCCTCACTCTGGACAGCCTCACACGCAGTGCTCCGAAATCGCGGACGTCCAAGCTACCAAGCAGGCGCACCGCCTGAGACATCCCCATGATCTGGGCGCGAACGGGCCCGTGAAATACCCCTCTGGCGTCTCCCCCTTGGGATGCTGAAGCCAACCTCTCGCTCGAGACATCCTCACACATCGCCTGAGGCATTCCCCCAATCTGGGCGCGACCGGGCCCGCGAAATACCCCCTGTCGATTCCCCCTTGGGGTGCTGACGCCAGCGTCTCGCTCGGAACATCCTAACACGTTGCCCTGAGAGCGCCGACGTCCACGATGCCAAACAGGCACACCGTCAGAGACATCCCCATAATCTGGGCGCGAACGGGCCCGTGACAAATTTCCCCTCTGGCGCCTCCCCCTCTTGGGGTTCCGAGGCCAGCGCGTCGCTCGGGACAAGCTCACAGAGGTGAGTGTGAGGCGAGCCCAAGCGTGCGTGGTCTGTGTGAGTGAGTCTGAGTGTCAGAGGCTCTGAGTGTGTATGAGTCTGGGTGTGGTGAATACTGAGTCTGGGCGTCAGTGCACCTGCGTCTGAGTGCATCTGAGTATGAGTGGGCCCGAGTGTTGAGCCTGAAAGCGAGTGAGTCTGAGCGTCAAGCCACCCAGGTCAGGTCGAGCGAGTCAGAGGGCCCCGCCTATTCTCCCACCCTCCCTCGACGAACATCATAATCACGCGTGGCACAACCTGATGTGGGGATTCGAACGCGATCCCGCCCAAAGAAAGAAAGGCGCTCGCGGGCAGCCCCGCTTCCGACGACCTGGAGATAACGACGTGGGCCGCGCAGAGGCGGGAGCGGCAGACCTTCCGACGTGCGCGGCGAAGACGACACACATTTTGCGCTGCGTTCGGGCGAGGTCGGCACCTGCGCCCGCTCCCGCGCGACCCCGCCGCCGCTGGCCATGTCGTGCGCTTCGGCGCACGAGCCATGCGCCGCGCCCGCGCGGGAACGCTGCTTCCGAGCGAAATGCGCACGGAGCTCGAGCGCGGGCGACGAGTCGCCCGCCTGCGCGGTCCCCTCCTGGAATGGGCAAGTGACAAAATTGTGCGCCGCGCCGGGGCGGGGCCGCCGCTTTCGGGCGAGATCTGTGCGGCGCCGGGGCGAGAACGACGTGTTCGTCCGATCGCGCATCGACGACGTGGCGTGCGAAAAATCAGGAGGACGAGGAATAATAATACCAACCATACAGTCATAATAGTAAGAATAGTAGTAATACAAGTTGTTATAGTAGCAAGAAGAAGAAAACAAACAAGACTAACAATCCTAATACTATTAACACTAATGATAACAATACTAATGCTAATACTAAGCATGAGACATATAATCGTAATAGTGGTGATACTGATAAGAAGAATAATATGAGGAAGCAACTTGGTATTAAGAAGACGAAGCATAATAATGATAAGGGGAGGAGGAGGAGAAGGAGGAGGAGGAGGCCCGCGTCGGGACCCAGGCCCAGAGGATAGAGAGACCTGCGCCCGAGAGGCTCCGAGGTCCACGAGGGCCCCGGCCACCGTCGCCGCGCCATTCGAGAGAGCGCTTCCTACCGCTACTGGCGCGTCCCCCCCCCCCCCATCGTTCGAACCGGGTGTATCAGGAGGAAAAAAAACACACAGACACAATTAATTGTCGATTCCCCAGAAAATATGGGAAAGTATGGGAAGTGGGGGGGAACACAAAATCCCTTAAAATATGGGAAAATATGGGGGATATTTTTATTTGTGTGTATTTATTTGTGTGTCCCAGGGCCCCTTCAGTGTAGATGGGGGTGACGAACATTCCCCCCTCCCTCCCCGGTTCGAACCGGTAGGCGGGTGGAGAGGACCACGCCCCGTGGATCAAAGCAGGGGAGGGGGGTCCGGCTCCCCCCCCGTTGGGACCGGGCTCAAACAAAGCTTAAATAATGCCCAACAAAGCCCAAACAAAGCTCAAGCAAAGCTCCAACAAAACTCAAACTCAGCCAAAACAAAGCTCCAGCAAAGCTCCAACAAAGCTCACGACAGCTCAAAGTAAGCTCCAACGAAGCTCAAACAAAGCTTGAACAAGGCTCGAAGTAACATCAAACTAAGCTCAACCAAATCGGAAACAAATTCAAGCAAAGCTACTTCAAAGCTCAACCAAAGCGCAAGCAAAACTCAAACGAAGCTCAAACAAAGCCCAAACAAAGCTCAAACAAAGCTCACACACAACGCTCAAACAAAGCTCAAGCAAACCTCAACCACAGCTGAAATAAAGATCCAATAAAGGTCAACATCAGCTCGACTTTCGAGCGGGGAGGGGATCACCCCCCGTCCTTTCCGGGTCGAACCAGGGCAGGGGGAGTCTGGACCCTCATCCTTCGGTTCGAACCGTGGACTGGGGGTCAGTCTGCGCCCCCTCGAACCGGGAGGGGGGGGAGGGCCCAGCCCAACCCCAGCCAGGGCCCTGGCCCTGGCCAGCCGCAGTCCCAGCCCCCCCCCCCCCCCCGAGGGGAAATTTTACGCCCCCCCCCCCTCCCGCTTTCCAGTCAAGCGATGGTAGTCCGCGCTCGCTCCGACATGTTGTCCTCGGTTGTGGCCTCATGGCTTTGGTTTCGGGCGCCCGCGCCGTTCAAATGAGGCCTCCGAGAAGACCCACATTCTTATTTCAGGTCCTGCGTGATCGCATCACGTCGCGCCACGCTGTGTTCGAACTCTCAACGAGACTCCTCCTCCTTTTCCTCCTCCTCCTCCTCCTCCTCCTTTTCCTCCTCCCTTTCCTCCTCCTTTTCCTCCTCCTCCTCCTCCTCCTTCCCCTCCCACGTGGCCATTTTGGCTCAAGATGCCTTCGCCCCGTGGCAGAGCGCAGACGCCCTTGCAGTCTGGGACAGCCAAGGACTACCTTTGCCTCGCCGTGCCCGCGGTGCTGGCGTCCCCATCCACGTTCCACGCGCGATGTTATTCGGCCACGCGCAGAGGGGGGGGGGTAGGGGGAGGGGGGAAGCTTCTCAGAAGCCTTCCCCCCTCCCCCTACCCCCCTCTGCGCGCCGCCAAATGTTTCCCAGGCTGGCGCGGGCCTCATTCGTGAAGGTGCGTCGGGATGGCCACCGTGTCCTCCTCCGAGGACCGACCCTCCGACGGCAAGCGCAGCGCCAATGAAGACCCCTGGTTCGACGCGGCCTCCAGGCTTCCAGTGCAAGAGATGCCTGCTCACCTTCGACAACAGCTGGAAGCCACCCTCGCCGCCCAGGTCAATATTGCCGCTACGTAGTTGGAAGCCACGGCCAAGTCCATCACATAAGCCGCCAGAGTACAGTTCCTCGAAGCGGTCACCGCCATCACCGCCGACTTCAACGCCAAGCACGCGAAGACCGAACGAGATCTTCATAATGTGCCCGCACGACTTGCCAGGACAGAGACAGCCACCAGAGAATGTCGCGAATTTCTCGAGAAGCTGCAGCGCATCGTGGACGACGCCGAGTCCCGCCAGCATTGCATCAATCTGGACGCCATCGGCACTAGGACCGTCCTCCCGACCC